TAGGGAAGCCTGTGCAATGATTTCTGCGAGGTGAATTTCTGCGGCACTTGTGTGTTATGCCAGCTGAGTCGTGAGCTTAACCATGTTGGGATGAGGCAGTGATTCGTGGAGTAGCGTTTCGTAGTCACGATCAGAGCTTTTAGCAAGTTGTTTTTAAGTTTAAAACTGGCTGGGTAATAGTACCAGAGTCAGGTTTAGAAACATGTTTTTGTTCTCGAATACGTTTGTATCCGGTTGTCAACTTCTGTTTTAGAGTAGTTAAAAAACGTGTAAGCTGTGTCAAGATGTTATCGAAACGTTCAAAGTCACAAGATCCCCGGCATTCCAATTTCAGTTTGTCCTTGGCATACACAAATAGAGGCCGAGTAGAGAAAGGCGGTGAACATAGAAGCGGTTTTCTCCTTGCGCTTCTTTTTTCTTTTTGTAATTCAGTGTGTCGTGATGCCCGTGAAGGGAACTGAACAGTGTGAGTGTCAGTTATCGATACTGGCTTTTAATTAGAGAGACAGTGATTGAGGTTGAAAAATCAATACAAAACTGATGGCCTTTCGGATTTTGTGACTATGAGTTTAAACGATGATGTAAGGTGTCCCCAGCTATCGTGTGCAACAGTACACTAGATGATTAAGTTCTTACTTTCTGAATGGCTGACTGACTGTGTGACTGACTGACAGAAAGATAGAAAGACAGACAGACAGACTAACTGATTGACTGACTGACAGACTGACTGACCGACCGATTGACTGACTGACTGACTGACAGACTGACTGACCGACCGACTGACGGGTCAGTAAATTACACGGTCTTAACGTTAAATCTATTTAAATTTGTAGAACTGTAAATTTTGTGGGTTTTTTTATCATTAAAATTTCCACGAACGAACATTGTTTTGGTTTGGATCAGTTTGAGAAGCTGACAGATCATAGCTGTAGGAGTTGTTTGGACTCATACAGCGCTAAATCGCTTTTATTTGGTTGAGTTATTTCTGTGGTTTTTTGAAAGGATGGCCTAGGGTCGTCACGCAACGCTCCCCAACACTCTACTTGGCAGTCGTTGTCGGTGTTGACATGCAATTTTTCTCCCACTATTTTAGAGGCAAGAAGTTTTGCGTGACAACTCTAATAACGACTGGGAATGGGGCTATTGTTACTGTTTAGGCGATGACTGAATGAAGATAAAGCTATCGGAAAGAGATCGTTGCTTGGTTAACTGTTTCCTTTCCAGTGGGAAGGATTTGATTGGTCAGTTCACCGTAGCTCGGTTATGTTGATGTGTCACGTGACATGGAATGATAGGATGAAGCAATTATGCTTACATTCAGCTAGCCTGTTCCAGGCTCTCGGTAGTTGGAGACAAGCGAAAAAAAAAAA